GTTTGTTTGTTTGTTTGTTTGTTTGTTTGTTTGTTTGTTTGTTTGTTTGTTTGTTTGTTTGTTTGTTTGCTTGTTTGCTTATCCATTTAAAGTATACAAAGGTAAAACCATGGTCCTGGTACTGGTGTTACTACTGCTCCATCAATCTCTGGCTGACCAAGGTGTGTGAGCTTTGTCACATTTTGTTTAAAATAGAAGGGAAAAACTGTACATTTATATTAAAATGTAAAAACATGCGATTAAAATATGTTTTTATTGAGTTGTGTGCATTCTCTTGTCCTCAGTTTGCATCAGCATTTCAAATTATGACCTGAACTTCGCRGGGGGCTATGGAAACGTCATAGACGGCAGGAAGGTTTATGAATGCAAAATCGATGGGAACAGAGACAACTGTGTCTTCTTTTGCGAGCCAGATTATAAAACGTGGTTCAATGGATCATCYGCCTGTTTAAACGCTTCTGTGAATCAAGAGATCAATTCCACCGTCTTTAAATATGACATTTATTCATGTAAGTACAACGTATCTCAAGGAAATGTTTCTCCTGTCCTGCCATGTTAAAGACATGGTCAACACTACATACACTGCCTTGCCAAAAAACTGTTACCATCCGGTGGTTTTAACTAAGTGCTATGATGTGTGGTTGCTGCAGTTGGTCAGGTGAATAACAGTTTGTGCTCAAAGAATGAGGTCAGCTGACTACCTGAATGTACTGAATGAGCAGGTTATTCCATCAATGGATTGTTTCTTCCCTGATGGCACGGCCATATTCCAAGATGACAATGCCAGGATTCATGGGGGATGACCTTAAGTAGAGTCTGACCTTCTCCAGCACATCCCAAAGATTACATTTTAACTCAGTAAATGTACACCTTAAATTTATCAGTTTATATTTAGTTTGTTTGATTTCTTGTAGTCAAGCCTTAACAGTTATTGTCACAGTGTTACTCCTCCATCATCGTTAATCACTTTTTTTTATTACTGGAATTTTCTGCTGCATTTGCACCTCCTGACAGCACATAAATTGAGTTTTTGGTGGAAAAAAATCACATTTTTAGAAATGTAATTTTGTAAATGTGAAGATTTCTAAAATCTTTGTTTATTTTTGAGTCTGACTGCTGGATGTAACTTTGCCCCCAAAACCAAAACAGCAACAACTTTGTCTGTCTGACTTTATCTTGATCAGGTCACTATTAAAAATGTAACTTCAGGGAATAAAACATCTGAAAAAATATTGCAAGGGGTGTAAATGATTAATGATTTTGTTATTATTATTATTATT